AACTCTGCCCCCTGCCAGCAGTTTGATCCTGACCATCTCAAGGTTGACCATTTTCCTTCCTTCCCTCCCTCCCTCCCAGTGGTTAGATTGCAGGCTAACTCTGCCCACTGCTAGGGGTTCGATTCTGATCGGCTCAAGCTTGACTTAGCCTTCCATCCTTCCGAGGTTGTTAAAATGGGGAGCCAGATTGTTGGGAGCAACAGGCTGACTCTGTAAACGGCTTAGAGAGGGCTGTAAATGCATTGTGAAGCAGTATATAAATCTAAGTGCTGTTGCTATTGCTCTCTCTCTTTTTCCCTCTTTGCAGATCGAGGGGGGAACCGTGCAACGGGATTTCAAGCAGACACGGAGCCAGGATCAAATTATAGAGATCTTTTTGAAGTTTGTGAAGAATCGCGTGGATGTGTTGGTGAGCCCTTGACCGAGGAAAGTGGGCAGAACTCTTAGCTGGAAAGTGGGACCACGTTTCTGATCAGTGGCTGAGCTAAAATGTCATGAGGCGGATTTGATTTGGGGGTTTTTGGGTAGGGGTCCATGGTGGTCCCTGAGCTTGGTTGTTTTCTTGCAGACGTTTCATTACCCAACTAGGGAACATCATCAGTGTCAGAAGGGAGTAGGGTTCACTCCCTGTTTACATAGAAGTGTTGGTGGGGGTGTCCTTGCTTGTTCCTTGTTTAGCTTGTTTGTCTAAGTTGATAGTTCCTTGACTGGAGGGAACTTGTTTGTCTGGTGTTAATCTCTGCTTATCTGGGTGTTTGTTGTTGGCTGTTTGGTCTCTTTGTTTCCTTTTGGGTTTTGTTTTTTTAATGGTTGTGCAAATGTTGCTTTATCTCTATGTGTCTGGTGATAGCTGAGTTCCAGGCTTCCAAGAGTTCTCTGTTGTTTTTGGACTTGGCTCGGTCTAGGATGCTCACAAGTTGCTTTTTTTCCTGGCAAAGGATGTTTCTAAAAAGAGATTGGGGGGCGGGGAGGAAGACACTGGCCCCCAACTCTTTCTGATTTAATATTTAATAAAGGTGCATATGATTAACGGTTGCAGGAACTGGGCCTGGCTAGTCTAGTGAAGAGAAGGACCAGGGATGACAGGATAGCATCTTCCAATATTTGAGGGGCTGCCACAGAGAGGAGGAAGGAGTCTCAAGCTATTTTCTAAAGCACCCGAAGGCCAGACAAGGAATAATGGATGGAAGCTGATTAAGAAGAGATTCAACCTGGAAAGAAGGAGAAACTTTCTGACAGTGAGAACCATCAACCCATGGAACAGAAGTTGCCCTCAGAAGTTGTGGGAGCTTCATCAATGGAGGCTTTCAAGAAGAGATTGGACACCTGTCAGGAATGGTGTAGGGCCTCCTGCTTGTGCGGGGGGTTGGACTAGATGACCTCCAAGGTCCCTTCCAACTCTATTAATCCATTAATTCTCCTTGATTTGCAGAAAATCTACTTGGCCCGCCTGGAGAATTTATGCCAAGCCTTGGATGAGTCCAACTTCTTCAAGAGGCACGAGGTGATTTGCTGGGGACCACCTCGCCCCCCCCCCCCCCCCCAAAGGAGGAAAGCCGAGCGCTTCTCAGCTCTCAAAGGGGGCGTGAGACCGAACTGTCCTATCCCACTACCCCAATTATGGAAAATAATCTGGGGGACCTGCTTCCCCCTAACCTTATTGTGGGTACCCAGGTTTGGACTGGAAGGTGTTGAGAAAAAGCAGGAAATTAAGCTCCGGGTTAGGATTCCGGGTTAGCATCTGGAGCAATTTTAAGGGGAATATTTTATCCAGATGAGCTTTCAACTCCCATAATTCCAAGCGCTTTGCTCAGGGGGATTATGGGACTTGCAGTTCCGCTAGGCCCAAGATGGAAGAGGGACAGCTTAAAGCACAGGCAACTGCAACAGGGTTGTTGTTTTTTTTTGTATTTTACTCGTAAGGAAACCTCCTCTAACCCAAGGGCTGCATTCACACAAAACACTGGGTCTGTGCGAGATCCTTGCATTTGCATGGATCTTTCAAGCTTGTTTAATTTGGGCCCTGGGTGGCCTTTAGTGCCTTGTGTCCCCATGTTTCGTGACTCCGTTTACAGTTTGGCACGTTGCATAATCCAGGTCAGTGGATTATACAACCAGTGGGCTGGCGACCACTGGTGGTCCGTGAGAAAATTTTGGTGATCCGCAGAGAAATGTCCTCCCCAAAGCAATTAACCCTGGCTGCGCGAGAACACAAGGCTGCACCGCCCACATGACCCGCGGGAACACAAGGATTGCATCGCTTGCATTGCGAACAACTCAAGGTAGTGAGGGGAGGGGGGAAAGGGCGGAGGGGGGGAACTTGCCCCACTCACCCCAAGCGCCTGGCCTGGCCACTGGGCTGCTTCTCTCTGCTTCTTTCTTTCTTCTGCTTTTGGCTGCACGCAAGGAAAGCAACTAAAGTCTTTCTTTCTCTCCCCCAAACTCTGCCAGAAATGAGACTGTGGGACCCTCCAAGGCCTCCTGCTCCAAGAAGCTGCGCCGGCAAAGACTCATTTCTGGCAGAGTTTGGGGGAGAGAAAGAAAGACTTCTGCTGCTTCTACTGTTTTCCTTGCATGAAGCCAAAAGTCTCTCTCTCTCTCTCTCTCCCCCGAGAACGGAGCTGGAGACGGAATCCTGTGATCCCAAATAAAGAACGATCGATCGGTGGGGAATTTTCCTGCAGACTTTTGGGGGGATTTTCCCAGGGTCTCTGGTCCGTTTGGATTTAAAATGATGAGTTTGGTGGTCCCTGAGGTCCAAAAGGTTGGAGACCCCTGCTCCAGGTTTATATTCAATTAATCAGATGTAAGAAAGTTGTGGGAACGCAGCCAGTCAAACTTATTTCTAAGGGGGCACATATAAACTTAATTTGCAAACCAAGAGGAGTCTAGTTCCTTTGTGGCAGGGACTTCCTCAAAAGGCGACTTTTAAGAAGCCTGGACTTCAACTCCCAGGATTTCCCAGCTTGCAGTATTTGAAAAACATTGGGTGAGAAGGGGCGGGCAGCTATGGCAACCTTACAGCCTGTGGACTTCAATTCCTGCCGAGTAAAATACAAAAAAACCAAACAAAAACCTGTTGCAGTTGCCTGTGCTTTAAGCTGTCCCTCTTCCATCCTGGACCTACCAGAACTGCAAGTCCCACAATCCCCCTGAGCAAAGCGCTTGGAATTACGGGAGTTGAAAACTCATCTGGATAAAATATTCCCCTTAAAATTGCTCCAGGGAATTCTGGGAATTGAAGCCCACAAAATTGCCATAGTTTCCCGGGGTTTAGAGGAAAGCTAGAAAGCAGCAGGGTTTTGGTTTTTTTGCATCCGGCAGGGTGAAAGAACTTTGTGCATGTTCAGGGGCAGCTCCACCCTGCTGCTTTAAAGCAAACAGCACATCCATGTAGAAGTGGCGTGTCTCCAAACAAGAGCATTTAAACAGAGGGGAAAAAATGCAGATTCTGTTTACATTGTCTGTAGTGGGATGGGTGGGTGTTCCTGCTTTATTTGCCCAGCTGCGTGAAGTATTTAACATTTGGCTTTCCCCAAAAATTGGCTCGTTTTTTTCCAGGCTGGATGGCATTTCAAGAGTTGTTTGACTTTCTTTCCTTCCCCTTGGTCCTCTCTCTCTCTCCTTCCCTTTTTCTCTCCCTTCTCTCTCTCTCTTCCTTCCACCTTCCTTCCTCTATTCCTTTTTCCCAATCCTTCCTTCCATCTGACATCTTTCTTCTTTTCCAACCTTCCTTCGTTCCTACCTCCTCCTATCCATCTTCTTTCCTTCCCTCCCTCCCATCGACTTCCATCTTCCTTCCTTCCTTCCTTCCTTCCTCCTTTTTGCAACCTCTCCTTTCCCTCTCTCCCATCCATCCTTCTTCCCCTCCTTTTCCTAACTTTTCCTTCCTTCCTTTCTTCCATCCTTTTTCCAATCCTTCCAATTTGCCATCTTCTTTTCCAACCTTCCTTCCTTCTCTTTTTCCTTTCCTTTATTTTTCTTTTCTTCCTTCCTCCCCGCCATCTTCCTTCCTTCCCTCCCATCGACCCCCCCTCCAACTTTCCTTCCTCCCTTTTGTAACCTTTCCCCCCTTCCCCCCTCCCCCCACCCATCTCCCTTCCATCCTTCTTCCCCTTTTTCTAACTTTTCCTTCCTTCCCTCCATCCCTTTTTTCCAATCCTTCCTTCTATCTGCCATTTTTCTTCTTTTCCAACCTTCCTTCTTTCCCTTTCCTCCCTTCTTTCTTTTCTTCCTTCCTCCATCCCTCCTCCCCTCCATCTTCCTTCCTTTCCTCCCTGCCAATTTCCTTCTTCCCTCCTATTTCTCCTTTCCCTCTCTCCCATCCATCCATCTCCCTTCCATTCCTCTTCCCCTCCCCTCCTTTTTCTAACTTTTCCTTCCTTCCATCCTTCCTTTCCTTCCTTCTTCCCTCCCTCCCTCCTTCCTCCTTTTACCCCCCTTGCTTCAGGTGGTCGGGAGTTCTCTGCTCTTCCTCCACGACCAGAAAGGCCATGCCAGCATCTGGATGATCGACTTTGGCAAGACTCTCCCAGCGCCAGCCCACTCCCACCTTCGCCACAACGTGGCTTGGACCCCCGGGAGCCACGAAGACGGCTACCTGATCGGCCTGCAGCACCTGACCCACACCATCCGGGCGACTCTGGCCAGAGCCGAGCAGAGCCAGGAGCCTCTCCTGGGTCCCTCCTGAGCCTGCGGCCCCCGGCACACAGCCGAGAGTGGTGGCAGCCGTGCTGCTTGGGGAGGGGGCAGCTGCTTTGCCAGAACGGTGGAGGGAGCCGGGACCCCCTTGCAACATCCCAGATCTTGCCGAAAAGCTGTGACCTGCCGGCTGTTGGGATTGCAACCGCACCAGAAACACACAACACAAGGATTTTGTGGCGAAGGGATGTAATTTCCTCTCCAGCCTTCCCGTTCCTTTTCCGGCTCACCTCCCCACACCAAAGGGGTCTCCAAAGGGGTCTCTCATTTCCCGAGGCCATTTTCAAGCCCCTCCGGGGTGGGGCCGACCTCCCTCCCCCCCTTGGAAAAACAGCGACAGCGAGGAGGGCCACGGAATCCCAAAGGAAAAGAAGAATCGTGGCGAAGTTGCTCACACGGGATCGAAGGCCGGACTTTCACAGGAAGAGGGGAGATTCAGAACCGGGGATCGCCCAGAGTTTATCCGCCGTGAACCGAACCGCCGTTTTACTCTGTCTGCCCCGACTTTGCAGTTTTCGTGCAACCTGCCGGAGCGAAAGGTGGCTGCGAGGGCCGGACTTTGGCAAGGCTGGGTCATCTGCAAGTCAGGGTGTCACACGTGTACTACACCCCCCCTGGACAAGTCGGAAACTGGTACCTTTGCAAAGATGCAACCTCCTCTTGGGATGTTGGCTTGAGATGAATTAAAAGCCAGGCAGAGGGGCCTTTTTTCAGTTCTTATTTGGAAGAAATTCTACCTTCTTTGCAATATCAAAGGAAATTCATTTAGGCCAGGGGTCTTCCAAGCTGGGTAGACTGGGTGACACTTGCAGACTTCAACATGGTGGCAGGGGCATTCTGGGAACTGAAATCCTGGCTGGGGCATTCTGGGAGTTG